TCTATGATTCTATGATTCTATGTCCAGTTCAAGATAGGATCCATGAGAACCAGTGATGGTTCTGGCCCAGTAGCAAGCTCCTTTACCTTCCTCTCTTTTAGTAGCTATCAGTAATTTCATCTGGATTCTCATTATTTTCCCTGGCTCATTTTAAAAATCTCTGTGTCACTCTTGACAAGAAAGAAATCCTTCTAGCATCCAAGGACAAGAAAGAAAAAAAACAAAACAGTCAGGCAAATCCTCTGAGGAAGAAATTTTTTATGAAAAGTAACAAATGCACTAGCAATTCTCAGATTTTGAAGCATATTCAGTTGAACAGAGTTCTTAAGATCAATGCCATGTGTCAGATAAGCTTATTGATAAAGCTATAAACCAGTGTTCAAAATGAAAAACAATCTGTTATTTACCATTGCCTGGAAATCCACCTGTGCATTAACCAGAGCTTTTGCAATTTGTGCTGAGTTCTGAAAATGTACATTATCTGAAAAAGAAAAAAAAAAAACAAAAACAAAAAAGAGACTGGCTGTTGAAAAGTGTAAATACTACAAAGCACAAAGTTATAGTGCATTAAGTTGTGTCCACTAATTATCAAGCGATACAGCTGACATTACTAAGAATGAGTAAGCATCTTATGTCATATGGTAATCCACCAAAGATCTAAGTACTGACTCTAATCAAAGTCATAGAAAGATGCTTAATGTTTTTCAAACAAAGTGGGACTGTATTTGTACTACCATTTGCAAACCTCACCATCTGCTGTTCCATGGATGAGAAGATACTCTACGTTTTGGAAATTCTTTGCTCTTGCCATCACAGTTGAATTCTGTTGAGAGGAAAAATGCACACTTCAGCAGTTTCAATTTAAAGCACTCAATCACAGCGCTGAGAGGCTTTCATTGCCTACTAGAACAATAATCAAACAGTTGGACTGGCATAATAATGACAGTAGTGACTTCCTATAAATCTGGGATTATTCAGAAGCCATATATATTTTGTGCCTTTTCTAAGGGCCAGTTCATGAAAAACACAGCACTAGTCATGTATCATTCCCTGAACACTCTAACTCCTGACTACCTAGATGGCTCTATCAGGGGAGTTTGGTACCGAACATCTCTGTTGTTTGAGTTGGGATGGAGAATAGGTACCGAGAACATCATCCAAAATCTTTAATGGGATTCTTTCCACTAACTTCTTTAGGTGTTAATTCAGGTCTCTCTGTATCCAGAGCTGGTATGTCTGTTGTTAGAAGAAGCTGTCCTATCAAAAGCAGAAAGGCAACCTGTCCCAGGTAGGGGAAGCTCTTCTGACCATATAATATACTTATGATTTTATGAGAGAGCTGAATTTTCATGAAGCAGTTTCCATACTGCAGCTAACACTACCCACCAAAACTGTATCAACATCGACATTTTAACCTCTCTCATGTGAATTCTTTCCCAGGTGAATGGTTTGCACTGGCAGAACTGTCTCTGACTTGACAATTGAGAAAACGAGGATACTTCAGTTTAGCGTATTTAGGAGTGACAAATACGAAACCACATGTAACTATGGAGATATGAATTCTGGAGTAGTAGCTTAGCTGCTACAGGACTGCCACTATGAGAGCTGATGGGTCATGTTCTTTCTTCACAGTTCTGCTTGCCCATGGAAATATGATTCAAATTTAAGGCAGCTGAACATGGAAAGAGATTTCTCACCTTGTAGTGCTCAAGATTATCGGACTCTACAGGAAGACCCATAAATCGTTCTGTGTAGATAGATGCTGTGATATTAAAGAAGAAAAAAAGCTGTAGATAAAGAATGTACAGATACTTTTGTGCCTCCAGTGACATATAGCAAATTAAACATTTATTTTAACTCTATCTGTTCTCCTTGGTTTCCTCATGATACACCAAATTTAAACATATTTTTAAAAAATCAGCTATGAAGGTCAGTTAATAAACATCCTCCAAACCATCCTTGCAGAAATAGTGGTTTGATGCTCATCTGTGGAACCAACAGAAGGTTTTGTGGATAAATGTAATCAACTGGTACTGCTTTATGCTATTGCGTTCAGCTCCAGAAGTCAGTTTGAATGATTCAATGAGCCAATAAATGTGTATGGTGGAAAGATGACACAGACTGTTTTTGACACCTTAAAAAGAGAAGCTGAGCAGGAATTTCAGCCTGGGATGTGTATGTGTACATACAGTAAATATGGATATATATGTTGTCCTTTTCCTACTGAATGGTTATATGCAGCAATTAGGGGGAGCAGGAAATGATACAGGCTTGCACTGGAGAAGTGGTGCAATTGCTGTTCAGGTCTCTTTTCAATTCCTTTTTCTATCTACAATAAAGGCTATTAACAGATTGGACAAGACAAATGTGAATAACTGAACAGTACCTATCACCAAGAAATTAGTAGGTACAGATATCTTTGAGCTGCCTGGGTATTCATAATTTAACTAAGAGCTGTTAGGAAAATCTGTGGAAAACTGATGCAGCAGCTGTCACTACCAGAACATTACTTTCTTTATGACCTTGCCTTGAAAGAATAACTGACACATATTAAGCAGTTAAGCTGCTGTATGACAAAACCTAACAGAATCAGGGCTTTCTGACGAAGAAGAGCTAGCATCTTTCCCTCCCATAAGAGGGGTAATGGCCACTGTAATCAGTCAGGAATTGGAATTGTCTACTGTGTTATCCAGTTTGGTACATTGCATTAGAATAATTGTTTTGAAAAGAAGAAATGAGAATCTTCCCAGGAAAGGAAAATGACTCAATATAGCCATGTTCCCTTAGTTTGTTGTGTATCCTTTATATATGTTACTGCTGAGTGCTAAAGCTGTGTATTATGTCTTGCAGATCAGCCAAATAAGGATCCTGAAGATAATCTGTAATAAACTAAGTTAAAAAAAGAAAAAACATCTAAGTAGCCTACCTTTTATCAAAATTCTTTATCATTCAATGAAAACATAAAATGTGCAATATCTGTTGTCAACACAATGTCAAACAACCATATTGGGCTTAAGTTTTCAATAAAACAGACTCTTTGTGGATGGCTGGCATTTCTACAGTATTCCGAGCCAAATTCTCCACTCTCTTCTACCAGTTTAGCTACAAGTAGTCCACAGAGGTCAGCAGAATTGCATTATAATGACTAAATGGAAGATTCGGCTTGTCAATTACTGAGGAATAAAAAGGAGATAAATTGAAAATTTTAGTAAAAGTCACAGATCGAATGCTTTTAGCTATACATTGTCCCTGAATGTTGTTTCCCTTGCTAGCTTAATAACTCTTCAGCTGTTATTCACTCTGACACAAGATGGAAGGGAGTGGGAGGACTTCAGAGAAACGATTATGGTCCAGACTCTAATCTGTGCATCTAAAAGAGAGTGGGAGAGAGTTTAGAAGCTCTAGGGGCCAGTACATCCTCTGACATACTGATACTACTTAGAGATTCAAATATGCCCCTATCACAGTTCATCCTAATGTTAACATGGCCTGTTTGCCAAAACCTATGACTCATGACTTCCTTCTGTTTCCTTCCTTCCTTCCTTAGTGGAGGTACATTTGCCCGTTTGGATTTTACAATGTGTTTTTAGCAAGATTCTTTAACTTTTTCCTGATAATTCATTTAGGATAAATATTGCAATGGTGCAGGTCTAACCCACTTTAACTTAAAAACGTCATTAAATTCTTTGAAAGCATTTATAACTCTTCTTTTATTGAAGGACTTTTGCAAAAATAATGTTTTACGCATGCATTCTGCAAATAATTTTGTGATCATGAGTGAAAACGTCTTAAAAAACCCTTGATGCCAGTGAAAAAATTAAAACTATGCTTCCTGTGTCATACAAATGTTTTCTCCTTTATTTGCAAAACACCATAATAGAAAAAAATGTCTGTACTAGCAGTCAGGGAAGGAATAATTTCCTTTAATAAAAATTTTTTCTCGTAACCAAGACTTATCCAACACCATATGCTACGTAAATGTGTTCACAGTGCTACATTTTCCTCATTGAAAACATGCATGCTATGGTTCTTTTTTACACTAAGGTTCCTATACATTGTGCCAAAAGCTTAACAGGTCTGCAAGTAAATATGAGTATGTGCCTGCTTTATTCACACAGTAAGGCCCTGGGTGTATACTCAGGTGTTTCCTCTGAACAGTTTGGAGCCTAGAGTAAATAGAGAAAAATATGTCGTAACACAACAACAAAGGAGGTTGGCTGAGACATACCTAAAGTTAAAAGTATTTAATTAAAAAAAACATATCAGACACAACTGAGTCCCTCTCTTTTCCACTGCTTTTGGGAAATAACTCTGCAGTCATCAGAGATACAGATTCCTGACTGAGGTCACCTGGAGTATCTGAAGTTGAAGTGCACCATGATTCCTTTAATGGCAGAAAAGTAATTTTGTCTGTTTCTGAATTCGGTGATAATGTTTTAACAGGATTTTTAGGGAGATCACTCCTGAGTATAGCAGTTCATCAGAAGGGCTTTACACACATACTGTTACAGAAGTGCATTTGGGTGTACTTTCTTCTGTGTGACAAAGCCTGTTCCAAACTGCCAGTTGCAGTCAGTTATTTCTAGTAAGGAAAACAATAAACTTAAGGTCTTAAGAGTTTTATTTTTAGGTAATTGCAATGCCTTTAAATGTCATATTGCCAGTTTCCTGCAATGATTTAATTCAGAAAGCCATTAAATGCTACATCTTGCTTTCCAAGTCATTATTAATAAGAAGTTTCCATACCATAATATTCCCAGCTGGAAACAGGTGCCACAGCCATTCCACATTTAAATACTCCACTTCCAGATCCAAGTGCCAAAGAAGTTACGTACCCACCATAGGACTAGGGAAAAAGTCAGTTTAAAATTATTGGTGAAGTATAATTTTATTTTGTGAAGCAAGCACATATAAATGAGTTCCAACGTACATATTTTGCTTTGAATGCACAGAGGACAAAGTAACAAATGCTTTTAATAGCTTTTTTTTTATTATTTATTTCAAATACGATTTCTTGTGAGAGAGACTGGACAATTTTACTGAAGAGAACTGGAGGCTGGAGTAATTCTTCCCTATTGCCTGCCACCCTTCCTGTTATTTTCTGCCTGATTTCTCAAACTAGGATCCAGCAAGGAACAAAAAATTCATATCTGGAACTTAGGTAAAATAGTAGGTAAGCCTAGATATCAGAACAGATCTGTGCAACTGTGCAAGGCTAGTTGCTGAGACAGGAATATACTGTCAACAAAAAGCGTTTGGTTTGGCTGTCCATATGATGTGGAACTGGGGTTGCAAAATACTTGTACTAGGTGTTCAGGAAATAATAGGCTGCTATTTACTTTGGACTGGAGGGAAGGATAAAAATATGGGGTATGTCATGAAGAATTCTGAAGATTATCAACCTCATCAATAACATATGAAAGACTAAGGGAAATAAGCAAAACTATTATATTTCAAGCAACTTTTATAGTTACAGTAGTTACAGTGGAACTGAACCTCACATGATCTATCCTATAATGTGTTTGTGGGCATCCTCTTACAATGAAACTGGGCCAACGAAAAAAAACCAAACACACAAAAACAGGAAAAAAAAAAAACCAAAACCCAATCAGTAACAGATCAGAAGAATTCTCCTGGCAAAGACAGTCAGTTAAAGAGAATGAAATAAAAGGTCTTTCTGAATAATAATGAGAGAAAAATGAACAAGTATAAAGAGAAAAATACTGGAAAATGTTAACGAGTGGCTAACATACCAGTTTATACTGTAAGCTTTCTTAGTAATGCTGCCTGTTACTGCTGAGTAGCTGACAGTGAAGGAGTAAGGGTAGCTAACACAGGTCTGGCATTCAACCCCTTTTAGCATTCCTTATAGTCCTAATGTCACTAATCCATGAGACCCTCAGGTGTTGCTTAACAGCTCATTCTCCTGCATAGTGTAATTCTGTTGCACTGAAGCTGTTGGAGCTGCGTAGGAGGCCCAGTTCTAACTATGCACTCTTGATCCAGCCATCCATGATGAACACTGACTATTCCAATAATTTATTTTTCTCCTATTAGCATGCAGTGCTATCCTAAAATTTGTACTTGAGGTATGCTACTCTATTTCTCAGTGCCTAAGTGGAATCTGACAATTTAATAACAAAGACTTGCAATACAACTGGCTATAAAAGGTTCTGGGAGTGGTATAAAGCAAAGTACATTAAAAAAAATCAAAACTGAAAAATGGGCTGGCTAATTATTTGGAATGACTCCTATACTGTCCATTTTTTCCAGGTCTTGATGAAGATGTCAACGTCACACACCCCTCAGACCCGCATTCATCCCTAGTGACCATTTCAAAGCCAGCCCAGTATACAGTGATTCAGAATGATGCAAGGGTCACAGTTTCTGGTGAGAGATATTCATAGGACCTTTCTCATTATTTTAATCTCACCAGAAAGGATGATACTTGAATTTTGACACCATGCCTGTAAGTCTCTAAGTTAAAACAAATTAAAATGTCTCAGTATTGCTTAATTTCAAATCCATACAATGTATTAGACATAAGCTTTTTAAAATTCCCCCTAGAGCTGCCAAAGATCCCTTTTCAGGGGCCTGAACTGCTGCAATTGCATGTATAAAGGCACCAACAGGAACCATCCCTTTTGGCAACACCATCAAACACTGGTAGAAGAAACTTTATACAGATTTAGGATAATATAGGGAAGAATTAAAAAAATTCTGCAGGATTATTTAAAGATAGATACAAAAAAATCAACCACTTACCCAGCCCCATATTGCTATTCGTTTCTCATCGATAAAACCCATCTCTATAAATTTCCTGTGGAAAAGAAAATCACAGAAATAAATGCACTATTACAAAAAATTGCTAATATAATAAAAAATTAGCAAAAAAGAATTTTTTCCTTTACTTTTTCCTACATATCCCAGCATTCTGACCAAACTGACAATCAACATAGCACGCCTGATTTTTACAAGGTATCAATTATTCAATGAATAAATATTTCAGAGGAAAAGGAAGACATTTTTTTGAAAGAATAAAAACTGCTGAAATTAATACTTTGTTCATAATATTCTTCTCTTCCAGTGGATGAGGACTCAGCCCAAATGGTTTCTTTGCAAAAAAGTTATTTTTTTCTTACACTTAGAATATTTTTTCCTATACTTGAATATTTAGTCTGGACTAAATTAATCATATATATTACACTCATGTTGTACATGTGCATATATGTGTATGTGCATATACATATGTACTGACATGCAGTCACACACACGCAGAGAAAAAAGTTCTAAATGTTTACTCCTACTAACAACCACATCTCACTTCCCGTAGCTCTACCTTCCCACAGGCTATTATCATTTTCATATCGAAGGTTCAGGATTACTGTTAACATTCAGACCTTATCCTGCAAGATGCTCAACATGCTCCACTTATGAATTGACACTCTGGTCCCTAAAAAGGCACAGTATCAACCTCTGAGATCAGGGATTTCCTGGAGCTATAAGCTTTCTTTTTTATGAGCCTGAAAAGTGAAGAGCACATACCACTACTATAACAAGAAATGAGAAAAATATCTGATGCTCCAAGTAGCTTGCAATGGATGAAAGGAGTACCTTGCTTATGGTGAAAGAGACTTTGACCAAACAGGTCAAAGAGAATCATCAATATTAGGTCTCCTACAAAAATCCTGAATCAGAGTCTAAAGACTGTATTTCCTGAGCTGTATTAGCAGCAGTAAAGAAGGTAAGGCGAAAAACCACAAAGGATCAAGGGGGAGAGATAAACCAACTAGATTCAGATACAACTGAGGACACATATCAGCCTTATTTTACTGGGACAAACGAGTGACTAACAACACCCAAAATGCAGGATACTGTCTGGGTGGGACCAAGTAAAAAAAGCCAAAAAATTATTCAGCTTTGTTATATCGTTGTCTTCATCCCTAAGGTTCCTCCTATAGTAAAAGCCCTTCCAAGAATTTCCCACTAGAGTACAGGATCTGCTCTAAGAATCATGCATCTCTAACATGACCATGTGTTAGATCAGGAAGATGGAATGCAATACATTTAATTGAGTAAAAATTTAGTTTAGGTGCTAACACAACACTGGCAATTGTGAAGTCTGAGGTCATTTCTTCGCAGCCTGTCTCAGCAGTTTTTGCAACTGCAGAATCAGTTTAGCTTCTCTCTGTCTCTGACATTTTATGTCTGAGTGATGGCTCAGAGTAATAAATAAAGTTCTGTCTCTTGTGATATTTTAAAGTAGACCATTGCTGCTAAAATTTCAAGAAAGACAATCAAATAACAGATTAATAGAAACACCTGACATAATATACAGCTATTCTGTTTCATTTATCACTGAAAAGGACAATGGTGTGTTGATATCATTGAGGAGGAAAGGAATTATCACAAGGGAGAAAGAGGAAGGAACAGATACCCTCCTCACACACACTTGTAAATACAGGTAGTGTGTACAAACAAGCAGAGAAATTGCTGGAAACCTGGACTGCTGCATCCAATTTCGAGCTAAGCTGCTTAGAGTCAGGACTGTTACTGGGGGAAAGAGGGAAGTTATTGCTGCAACTGGAATTCTATCTATGCCCTGATGGGCCAAATTCCAGACCAAAGGCATTCCTTACTCCTGCCTTGCACTCCTATCTGTGGGGTTCGAACTAACACTTCTTTAAATAGAACAGAATCAGAATCCTATAATTGTTTTGGTTGGAAAAGACCTTCAAGATCATCGAGTCCAATCATTAACTTAATACTGCCAAGCCCACCACTAAACCATGTCCCTAAGCACCTAAGCTACACAGCTTTTAAATATCTCCAGGGATGCTGACTCCACCACTTCCCTGGGCAGCCTGTTCCAGGGCTTGACAGCCCTTTCTGTGAAGATGTTTCTCCTAATATGCAACATAAACCTCCTCTGGCACAACTTGAGGCCGTTTCCTCTTGTCCTGTCAAGAGGAAATGCTCACTTTAGCAGTGGTACTACACCTATAAGCTTAACAGGCACCCTTTCTTTACAAAGCCTCAGCTTTCACTCTCTCCCAAAACCTCTGCTTAGAGAATTATCTTCTCTTGGAACACTAAGAGTTTTGATGTAAAGAAGCAACTGCTGGGGAACAAACACCAGTGTGCCACAGACACTTTCTGTTGCTCATAACTGTTCTAAAACAGCATGAAAGGCAAGTTTATGACTAACAGAGCTCTAGAAGGCTTGGGTTAGGATTCAGTTTTGCTATAAACTTTGCATTTGACCTTTAGCTAATCACTGTGGTACATCTATGGTTCTTTGGTTAACCGTTATGGTCACTGAGGTGGGTTTCCCCTACAGGGAAAAATTAAGAATAATGGACAATACATTGGTTTACTTTTCACCACTGACGCTTGTACTTCCTTAGGCCTAGGACTGAAGCCTCTGATGATGGTCTTATAAAATTGAAGTGGTGTGATCCAAACACAGACTTAGTAGTACATGGACTTAATATACCACACAAAACTTCACTGACATCAAGCACCTCAGTAATACTTTATTTCTACAAGTCTTCTCATCTTATTTCCTGAAGACTGCAGCTCTCCAGAAGAAAGGCTGAGAAGTATATTTAATATTTTTTTCTTTTCATATTACTTCTTGTAGGTATGCAAAAATAACAGTTATACAAGGAGATATTCTACTTACTTCACTGCTGAGATTTGGTCCTCAACTTCATAGACTCCCAGTCTTCGATATACTGCATGTAACATCTTGTCACCTTGATAAGCTGTCCCTCTGCCATCCACTAGAGCAACAATAATTCCTTCTTTGCTTGCAAGATAGGTTATCCAGCTAATGCTAAATGTTTCCTTTACATTCTGACTGCAAGGTCCTCCGTACCTATGGATAATAATTCATACATTTTCAAGTCATATTTATGAATTGATAAATTTTTACTGGATACTAAACTATAGCTATAAGTACCTCTTACATTTTCTCCACAAATATTTTTCTATATGGCTGTGTTTTGTAGACTAACAATTCAATTACCATTTTCATATATTTGCGATATTTTGTGATATAAAAATCTACTTTAATGTTTTAGGTCTTATGCCTAAGGCAAATCATTAATTTTAGCTCACACTAAGGTGTACAGCATCAGATGAGCATCCTAAGGGGAATCTCTGGAAGAGTAATGCCTCAAAGACTCCATTCTGTCTTCTCTTCAAATTCCTTAGGTGTACTGGGTCTTTTTGGTGCTTTTCCACTTTTCTGCATTTGATCTCCACATGCAGTCAGCAATGACAAAGAAAACAGGAGGAAAAAAGTACAGTTCTTTCCACTTTTTGGCCATCCCCAGACCTTCTTTGTTTCAGTAGGCAATATCATGTGCTGTTGGAGCTGTGGGGAGAACACACCCCACAAAATGGAGCAATACAGAGATAGACACTCCTCATGAGAATGGCCTAATGCAAGTTACACGTTTGACCTCAAGGACATGACAGACTTAATCTTCTACTCTAATCTTCATTTACACATACTTAGCATTCTTGGACCTTTGGATCATCACTGGTTAATAAAAAAATTATGTAAGGTTTATTACACCCACTGAGCATTCCTTTCTGTATCTCTTTTTTTTTTTTTTGCACTACTGTAATTTTTGTTGCTTTTTCTGCCTGCAGTAAATTAAATCCATGTCAAATGGTCTTCAGAAGGAACATTTTATCGAAGCCAGTTCACATGGTTAGGAGTGTTTGGCTTTGTTTCTTAAAAAAAAAAATAAATTCATATTAGCAAAGCTGAATCAATAATTCCAGACTGCCTCATGATAAACAGAAGTAGCAACAGAGCTAAGAACTCCAAGCAATACCCTACATGTCTTTATCCTCTCTCTTTCTCTGAGATACTAATCCTTTCCATGCTAAGATTAACATTAAAAGCCTCATTGATTTCTGTTGGGTTGAATTTCTATTCCAGAAATATATATTAAAAAATCACAACAAACAAAACACAACTAAGTGGTTTTGCTTTTGATTCATAAAATGTTACAATGTCCTAGGTTTTGTTAAATTATGCTTTCTGACAAAACAACAATGTTCAAAGAAAGGAAGAGTTACATACACCTGAATAAGCAGAGGGTACTTCTTGGATCTATCAAACTGTGGGGGTAGAAGCATTTTGTACCATAAAGCTAGAAAAGATATAAGAATTATATTGGTAATAGTTAAAATTATTCCTCCAAGCATAGTCCAGATAGTGTAATAGTATGTGCAAATGAATCAGCACAAACTACACAATGTATCAACTGTGAATCACAGAACTGATGCAAGTAACTGTTTATATTGAGATATCAAAGAGCAACTTTGAAGAAATAAAGTGCTCACTTTCACATTTTATTACCACTGTATTATAACACTTTTACATAATATTTAAATGTTTTACCAATAGTACTAAAGAATTTTAAAAAAATCTGGTTGTAAAGCAGAGATATATTTTAACTACTATTTTACAGAGATATTTTTTTATTTGAGGCACAAATTTGCTCTTGTCAAACAGGGCAGAACCAGATCTCTTCTTCCCAATCTGACAGGCTAACCAGTTTGTTCCACAGAAAGACAATACTTATTATAACAAACTGAAAGCAAAACATTAAAATGCTGGGAATAATAATAAGCTGTATCATTCTTACTTATACTATCCACTTCAAGTTTATTTATTTCTTCTTTTGGAAGTTTGATCTCTTGCAAAGCGGACTGCAATTCCCAATTATCTTCCAATACTCTGAGCTCTAAGTAAAAGAAATGCCTGAATTATTACCTAATGTATTACTAATTCCTCTTAATTAACAGAGATTATTTTGTGTTATTAGAATAGAAAGGATATTTGTGAATTTTACGAGTAATGAAATCAAACTCAGACAGTTCTAACTGAGCTTGATCACATTGCTAAGTAAAAGCAAGGCACTGGTATTATAGTGTACAAATGTTTGTTAGATTTTTATAGGATGTACATTTTGGAATGCAAATCACCACCTCAGCTGAACCCTTTTCTGTCCTTCCCCTCCAAACTCCTGAAACTTGCCCAGTACCACAAATGAATTGTAAACATACTGGAAGGAGCTTCCAAACTAGTGTATGTTAGTTGAACTGCATGCTTCTTACTAAAATTTATAGGTGACATATTTTCAAAATGCTGCCAACTGCGGTGAAAAATGGATCTGCTAAAAATAGTTTTGCACCACAGAAGAGATTATGAAACCATGGGACTTAAGGAAAATTAATCCAAAAAAGGCCATGAAAAATTCAAAGAGAAGCTTCATTTGGTTTTATCCCTGAAGAATAATAGTACAGCAGAGTGAGGCATCATAAAACTGGTAGTGAAGATCCATTAAATGAAATTGTTCTCTCCTCTAGAGGGCTCAAGAAACAAATACTTGTAGTTAGGCACTTGGCTGTACTTCATGCAATTCATACTTTGATACAGAAGTAGTAGAGGCCCTTGACACACAAGGTCCTAATGAAGCAGAGAGCTATAACAATGGATTAAATGTGAAAAAAAAAAAAAATCAATGCATTAGCTGTATTTAAATCTTTATACCCATTTAAACCTTCTGCAAAAGAAATACTAGAAGAAGATGGGGTTTTTATAGCACATTTACGCTGGACATGTTGACCAGTCTTTTTTTTTGCATCTGCAGATATTTTTGAGTGGTTAAAACCCAAGATGTTTGAGTTACGTTGCAATTCCTTGACTTCTGCGTGAATCACCACTGACTAATTTAGCTTAACAATGTTGCATTATTTGACTTCCTTATGTTTTTATGAGTCTTCTGGTCAGACAATACTCAGTTAATAGTGGCGATATCAATATGAGCTGAACTGTAAGGACCCCAGCATTAGAACTATCAGTTCACTTCCACTGAACTGGGGAAGAAAGGGGGAATGCCAAATCACTGAAGGCTTTTTACAGTATCATGCTAGTTCTCATAACATTTCAGGACTGAGGGTTTTAAGTTGGAGAAGAATTTTTAGGGAAAAAAAGGGACAGAGAGAGAAAACTCTCTGCAGAGCAATTAATGTTTTCACAGTTAGTAAATTCCTGCTTTGCCTGGTAGCACAGTCCTCACTAACAGGCTACTTAAGGAACGAGACCTCTGAATGTTTCTTGCTGTAGTTTCCATTTTGTATCAATAATTGCACCTTGTATGAAACATTTATTTGAACTGATCATCTGAAAGAGCTTCTGCTTTTCCCTGACATCTCTACTGATGGCTGAAGAACAAATCACTGACCCAAAATCTAATTAGTGCAGTACAACGACTCAAACGACAAACTCTAAATAGTATACTGTTGCCTTTTGCATGGGGTAGGGTTGCCTCATGAAAGAAAGTCTTCTGCTTACCCAAATGCCGAAAGAAATAGTTTGGAAATCACATAAATGTTTTCTACAAGGTTTGATGCAATATTTGGTAGTCAAAGAGTTGCTCGTGTTCATTGCCTCTATAGTGTGTACACAGCAAAACCACTAGGATCCTATAAAAGTGCCAGACTCAGCAATGAAAATAAAGGCATTGGTGTGTTCATTAATACTTGTATTTTACTAATTAATCTACAAAGACACTAGATATTTTAATAACAGTCAAGACAACAGGCTTAATCACAGTCTTAAATATTGTATTAGAGGATATGCATAGTGAAGATCAATGAGAAAAACAACTGCTCAGAAATAGGCAGGATATTTGCACTACCTCTATCACCACGGTTCTCAAAAAGAGTAGAAATGGGAATCCCAGGACCTGTCGTAAGAAAGATAAAAAGGCAGTTTATAGTTTGAAGCTAGAATTTGGTGATGGAGTGTGTTACATTAACATTGGTAACTGACAGGTGTTAAAGAGCTCAAAAGTGACACAAATCTGAACCTTCTTTGCTGTATAACCCACTAATCCCTGCTGGATGAAATACATAAGGTACTTGTTGTACATAGACTTGTATAGATACAGGCATCACTTAGCAAACATAAGAGAAGTCACTTTGAATCTGCTAACAAACCCTTCCTACAGATGAAGTGACATCTAGTATAATACCTGAGGTGTGATTACATAAGGCAAATGAAGAATTAACAGTGTGGAACATTCTTATGAGAACATGTCACATCATATTTGTGAAGGTGAGTGGCTTTCATATGGTGACGACCTTACTGACTATTTTGTGCAAGACTGATTGAAAGGTGTTATTATTTGCTACATTTGCTTCTCTGCTCAGTGGAAGTTCTAAGGAACTCTTCAGCAGACCAGTCAGTATAGAAACAGAAGAAAGGTAAACTTTATATGAAATACACAAAAGGAAAAACCTTGTATATTTTTCTTTTTTTTTTTTTTAGACTTCACTGTTTGAATACAGCAATGGACGAAATCTTTGATCACTGAAATCAACTAACTTATTTCAAAAGAGCTAAGACTTCATTTAATACCTCTGTGTTAAAATTGGTTTCAATGATCACAATGATCTTGAGGAATGTAATTTTTCTTAGTTATTGGAAATGTTCTCAGAGAGTAAATATACAACATTTTGTGGCTGACACAGGTTTTAATAATTTCAAGAAGGAAACACATTATAGAAGTTTCTTATAGCTAACTTTGATCACACAAATTGGAACTCGGTATGTGTTTCTAAAGCCTGCTGTTGCTCCTGCAAGAACAGGTATGACTTTGAGAAGCCAGATTAAGATCTGTTTTGTGCTATGAAGGACTTTCATAATTTTTTTTTTTTTAATTCTAAAAATCCTAAGGTAGTTGTTGGGGAAAAAAAAAAAAAAAGACTACGTATTTTTGTTTTCTGAAATATCCTCCCAAGATTTTTGGATATGGAAAAGTTTCCTTCTGGAATCTCTTCTAGTTATTGTAAAATTTTTATGATTCACCTAGCTGTCATCTGGGAAAAACAATATTATCTGTATCTCTGAAAAAGTTGAAAGAACAACTGATTGTATGTTTTCTATGTTATACATACCATAGCAGATCAAGGCGTAATACTTAGAACGTTCACTGAACCTTGCTGTATAATACTGGCATCTCTCTTTCCTTAAATTGCAAGTAATGCATTGTTTTATGATAGGTTTACTTCCAATACTGATTCTAGGAGAAACATAAAATAAAGTAGTATTTATTTTGTTATGACTGACTTCACATATGTCTGCCTCACATTCTATGATAGGCACTGTACTTTCAGACCAGTTCAGTTTAAAAATAAAAGCTTTCCCTTTTCATCAATTTTTTTTCCCCAAGAGTATACTTAAACTTTAGATGCTATTTCTCCTCAATTCTCAAATATAATCTCAGGTTGAGATTTAATCAAAATAGCTTGTGAAATTACACTTTAAACATCTTGAAACTAAATTACTTTACTGACAAATCCAGAGCTACGTTCTATCACTCTAGTACCATTAAGATAATGTTGATAACACTTACTTGTAAATATTCCTTCTTCCTGGATAGCCTTCAAATTCATTGCTTGAATAGAAACTGTAAATTCATTTATATGTTAATAAATAATCCATAAAGTGATGACCTATGAACCAGCATCAAGATGAAAAGCTGTCTTGGAAGTTAACTTAGACTTTCTGAGATTTCTGCATGTGATGGAAGAGTAAGTTAAGCTTATAAACCTTTCATCTTGATAAATCTTTGCTCAAACTCTAATTAGATGACAAACAAACCATGTAAACAGGATTTCTAGCTTAATTCTCATGAGCTAATTTCTCCAATTCAGTAAACTGTATCTATCTATCTACCTAGTAAACTGAATGAGAGACCATAAAAAGAGAAGTAACTGCAAATTGTATGAGAGTTAACCACGATTAAATTTAAGTACTTCTAAAGAAGTCTCTCTAAGATGTGTATCCAAAAATTAATAGAAAAATAAGGGCAATTAGCAAACAGTCTCCCATAAGTAAATGAATTTTGTAAACCTGTGCAGTGCCTTTACACACAAATTTTTGTGGATACATTTAGACACAAAAATTGCACCTGGTTAAAATCTAATGAGTTAACAAATGGTGTTCAAATGATTAAGTGGTGACAACACTCACAAGCTGTTCTCTTCTTCATGATACTTACATTGCATCATTTGTTACTCTGAAAATGTATATTGCCTCCCATTCTCCACTTGTAATTTGGATTGCATTCTCCTGTGAAACAAGACATATAAATTACTGAATATTGTAGAATTATTTCAGGACTTAGAGTAGATAAATGTAGAACACTTTGCTTGACTTACCACAGAGCCATTGATGTAATGAATATGCTTATAACCATTTTTGTCACTAAAAATTTTGTAGTATGAACTGCTGTCTGATGTAAAATATGGTGCAGAAACAAAGAACTGAAACAATGGAAAAAAAATGGTAGATGATATGTAAGTAAGACAGTCCAAGCTGTTTAGCAGACTATACCAAAGACATAGCAGACATACTAAAAGTAATGAGACTCTTTAATCAGTTCAGATGGCACAAAGTACTTTGCACAAGTGTTTAGCTGTGATATTCAATCTCCCAATCAGTACACATTCCAACTTCTAACCCATCATGTCAGATATCTTAAACTAGAAATAGAGATACCTCAAGTACCTCACAAAGGAAAGCTCTCCACTTATAAATGGAATAATTTGTTTGTATATTCTGAATGACCTTTCCTTTGTTATTCAAAAATAGGTAGGTGTGATTTCAAAAAAAGAAGTTTTTTGAATAAAGCTAATGTTCATGAATAGTGACAGACTGAAAAGCCTGTGGACCACAGAGCCTGTCTGATTCACTGAGAAAATACAGCACTAAGTAAATGCATATCTCAAGTTTTCCATACTATTGTTAATGGTGAAGAAGAGATTATCCCAGATAAAACCGTTTAACTTTTGCTTCCTTTCAAACCATCGCCTCTTTACTAAAATTGTCAGTCAAGGATGAGTTACTGCAGCTGTGAGTTTTATTTTCAACTCATGAATACAGAATGACCTGCAAGCTCTTCAAACATAGCACCAAACATCCCTGAGTGAATAACACTTCTGAATAATACTAAACCAAGCTTGACTAGAACCTGTGACTACATGCTAAATTGTTCTGGAGCCTGCTTCTAATATTCCTAATGCTTGAAATCCCATAATGGATAAAGTAGGGATTTATGTATGTGTGCAATTTTTTTAGCTCTAATAAAAACCTGCCATCACAACCACAAAAGAAGTGGCCAAAAATGAAAGGGATCAAGTAAAATAACTAATCCTTGTAAATGTGTAATCTTCACTTCAAATAAAAACACATCTCTTAAAGGACAGCGTACTGAAAATCAAAACTCTTGGTTAAGTCCACTGTGGTGTGAGGTCCCCATGTTGAATTCTGGTAACTTCACCTGCCTGAGGAGTAAACATAAGCAATAATACATACTCACTGATAGAATATGTGTGATTGTAAAAGTTGATCTTATGCTCTTACAATTTCCTTGCAAGTGTGTTACTACTGTAAGTTCACAAAGGCAGTTGTTATGTGTCTTCCAAGATAAAGGTCACTGGGTAAAGAAAACTTCCTTTCCTTAGGGGTAACTGCAGAGAAGTATCAACTACCACCGTAAGTAGGGTATCTTACCTTGAAGGTTCCTCCCTAGCTGAAGATGGCACGTGGCACTAAAAGTGTGTTCTGAATGGACAGGTTTTATTCTTAAAATGCTATGGTAAGGCCAATCTTCTC